TTATAGAACATTAAACCAAACAAAGGCTAAGCATTCTTTTCAAATGCACATGAGATGTTTACTACTATAGATAATATGTGGGTACATAAAACAAGTCTTAATACATTTAAAAGTTTTGAATTCATCCCATATACGTTCTCTAGCCACCACGGTCAAATTAAAAATCAATAACCACAAGACATCTAGGAAAATATTAAATATTTTAAAATTAAACACACTTCTAAATAACCCACAGGTCAAAGAAGAAGTCACAACATAAACTAGAAAATATTTAAACTGAGTGCAAAATAAAACATACCAGATTTTATATAATGCAGTTAAAACTCTCCTAAGAAGAAAAATTAGCCTTACTTGCTTACTTTAGAAGATGAGAAAGATCTAAAATTAATGATAATGTTTCAATGTTAAGAAACTGGCAGCCGGGCATGGTGGCTCACGCCTGTAGCCCCAGTACTTTGGGAGGCCGAGGCAGGTGGATCACTTGAGGTCAGGAGTTCAAGACCAGCCTGGCCAATATGGTGAAACCCTATCTCTACTAAAAAATACAAAAATTAGCCAGACATAATGGCAGGCACCTGTAATACCAGCTACACAGGAGGCTGAGGCACAAGAATCGATTGAACCCAGGAGGTGAAGATTGCAGTGAGCCGAGATCACACCACTGCACTCCAGCCTGTTGACAAGGTGATACTTGGTCTTCTCAAGAAAAGAAAAAGAAAAAAAAAAAANAAAAAGAAAAAAAAAAAAAAGAAACTAGAAAAATGATTAAATTAAACCAAAAATGAGAAGGAAGAAAACTAAAAAATGATAATAATGGAAATGGTGAAAATGGGGGATAAATTCACAAAAGAAAAAATTTGAAAAGCCAAAAGTTATTTTCTACCTAAGTGTCCATAGACAGATGAATGGATACAGAAAATAAGATGTGTGAGTGTATATATGTGTATATACATATACATGTATATGAATATTACTCATTGATAAAAAGAAAAAGAACCTGCCATTTACAACAACAATGGATGAACCTGGAGGACATTGTAAGTGAAATAAACTAGACATAGAAACAGAAATACTGCATGATTTTACTTATATGTGGAATCTTAAAAAGTCAAGCTTATAGAAGCAAAGGGTAGAACAGTGGTTTCCAGGAGCTGGGGGATGGAGAAAATGAGAGATGTTGGTCAAAGCTTAAAACTTTCAGTTTTAAGATGAATTAACTCCGGAGATACAGTATGAGGACTATAGTTAATAATACCATATTTTTTACTTGAAATGTGACAAGAGAACAGATTTGTGATATCCTCACCACACATACACATACACACACATGCAAATGATAACAATGGATGGTGACAGATGTGTTAATTAACTTGACTGTGGTAATCATTATACAATGTATACGTGTATCGAATCATCACGTTGTACACCTTGAATACATACATTTATTTTTCAGTTAAATATTTTTAAAAGCCCAAGGTTTTCCTTTGAAAGGATTAACAAAAGTGATAGACCTACTGTTAGTCTGATCAAGAAAAAGAGAATACATATTAACAATATAAGAAAGAAGGATTATTACTACAAATACTAAAAGAAAGATAAGGGAATATTATAAACTTATGTGTGCCAATTAATTTAGCACTTAGACGAAATGAACAAATCTTTAAAAATACAAGTTAAAAAAATTAATACTAGAAAAAATAGAATATGTAAATGATTATATATATGTATATATAATAAGTTTTATTTTTTAAATCAAAAGACTTACCACAATGAAAATTTCAGGCCTATGTTATCAGACATTCTAGAAAACAACCACCAATCTTATATAGGTTATTTCAGAAAAGAAAAGAGGGAGCACTTCTCAAACAATTTTAGGAGTCTAAGTTTAACTCATATAACAAAATCATACAAAGATATTACAAAAAAGAGAGAAAAATCATAGATTAATATTCCTCATATACACAAACAGAAACATCTTTACAAAGCAAATAAAAAATAATGTATGTAAAAGATAGCTAATAATCAAGTGAAGTTTATCTCAGGAAGGCAAATATTCGCTTACCATTCAAAATTAATCAATGTGATTTAACATACTAATGGAGTAAAGGAGAAAATTATTTAATTATTTTGCTAGATATACTTTAATTTTTTTTAAAAAATATAATAAACAGGATTAAACACAGACTAGAAAAAAGTGAAAAAGGAAATCATAAACAGGAAAATTAATTCTTCACAGGAATAGAAAAAAATGCTAAATTTGTATGAAAGCACAAGAGACCCAGAATAGCCAAAGCAATACTGTGCAAAATAAGAAAGCTAGAGACATCACACTTCCTGACTTCGAAATATACCGCAAAACTATAGTAACCAAATCAGCATTGCACTGGCATAAAAACAGACACAGAGACCAATGGAACCGATTAGGGAACCCAGATATAAATCCACACAATTACAACCAACTCATCCTCAACAAAAGGTGCAGGAATATACAATGGGAAAAGGACACTCTTTTCAATAAATGGTGCTGGGGAAACCGTACAGCCATCAGCACAAGAATGAAACTAAACCCCTACCTCTCACCATATACAAAAATCAAGTGAAAATGAAAGGTTTAAGTTTAAGATTGGAAACTCTGAAACTATTATTAAAAAGGCATTGAGGAAATGAACTAGGACATTGGTCTTATCAAATATATTTTGTGTAAGACCTCAAAAGCACAGTTGACAAAAGTAAAAATCGAAAAAAAAATGGGACTATATTAAACTGAAAAGCTCTGTATAGCAAGGGAAACAAAAAAGTGAAGAGACTACTCACAGAATGGGAGAAAGTGTTTGCAAACTACCCATCTGACAAAGGATTAATAACCAGAAAGTATAGAAGGAGCTCAAACAACTCTCTCTCTCTCTTCTCTCTCTCTATAGAGAGAATGACACACATACATATATATGTGTATATACGTATATACACATACATATATATGTGAAAAAATGCCCAACATCACTAATCAGAGAAATGCACATTAAAACCACAATGAGATATCATCTCACACCAGTTAAAATGTCTTTTATTAAAAAGTCAGGGAATAACAAACGCTGGTGAAGATGTGGAGAAAGAGAAGCCTTCATTCACTGTTGGTAGAAATGTAAATCAGTACACCACTATGGAAAACAGTGCGGAGGTTCCTCAAAATCCTAAAACTAGGAGTACTATATGATTCAGTGATTCCACTGCTGAGTATATATCCAAAAGAAAGGAAAGCAATATATCGAAAAGATATCTACATTCCCATGTTTATTGCAGCCCTATTTGCATTAGGCCAAATGTGGAATCAACCTAAATGTCCATCAGTGGATGAATGGGTAAAGAAAATGGAGTATATAGATACAATAGAATATTATTCAGCCATAAAAGAGAATAAAATCTCGTCATCTGTACCAACATGGATGGAACTGGAGGTCATTATGTTAAATAAAATAAACCGGCTACATAAGACAAATATTGCTTGTTCCCACTGACATGTGAAAGCTAAAATGGTGGATCTCATGAAGATAAAGAGTAAATTGGTGGTTACCAGAGGCCAAGAAAGGGAGTGTGGAGGGGGGATAAAGAAAAGTTCATTAATGGGTACAAATATACAGTTAGATTCAATAAATAATACCATGTTTGACGTATCAGTGGGGTGACTATAGCTAATAGTAATCTGTTGCACATTTTCAAATAACTAGAGGAGAATAATTCATGTTTCTAGAATAAAGAAAAGATAAATATTTAAGGTGATGGATATCACCAATTACTCTAGATTTGATTTTTACAAATTATGTGAATGTATCAAATTATCACATGTACTCCCCAAATTTGCATACGTATTATGTATTAATACAAATACATTATAAAAATATGAAAGCTGATAGTAGCAGAACAGAAGGTACATATGGAAGTTAGAGATGAAGAAATGCAAAAATTAAGAGACATGAAGGACAGAATGAAAAGTCCAATACTTGTCTGATAGTAATTCTAAAAGAAGAGAATAATGATAATTCATTGACAATAAATAAAGATGGAGAACTGTTTGATGAAAGTCATGAATTCTTAGATCGAAGAAGTATAACAAGTCCTAAGCCAGATGAACAAAAATATACCCTCTCCTAAACAAATTATGTTGAATCTGAAAAAAAAAAAAAAACCTCAAGACAAAGATAATATCCTAAATATAAGCAGAAGGGAGAAAAACAGAATATCTGCAAACAATTAAACTCTGTGTATTTTAAAAACAATACATCCTCAAAGTCAATGAGATAAATTTGTCACTAGAAAATTATAACTAGAATTAAACTAGAATTCTAAACCAAAGTTAGAATATTTTTCAAAACAGAGGGTGAATTAAAAATAGAACTATAAAAAGTTTACATTTGTAAAACAATTAATAAAAATTGAACTTCAGCAAAAAGAAAATGGAACTAAGTCCCTGAGGGAGAAAAAACAAGTACAATAAAAAAGCAAAAGGAGGCAAAGAATTGGTAAAATATCATTGAAAATTAAAATAAATAGTAACCATTAAAGATAATAATGATCATAACAATAATTAGTTAATTAATTTTGATAAAATCAGTGGAAGATAGAGGAAAATATCTCATAACTAATCTCCTTATGTCCTATTAGAAGACAGGACAATACGTTTTTAAAATGTTTTAATTACATTTTGCTAAAACTGAATATTTGCTGATGTTTCCAATTCAAGAGCTTTCTCTTAAATTCTTCCTTTCCATTAACTTTCATATACATTTTGTGAATTTTAATTTAATGAGTATGACAATAAAACAATGTAAATTCCTTAAGCAGAAGAGGAAAAGTAGGGAAGCGTTGAATCTGGTTAATCTAAGAGATGCTTGAAAGAAGAAATAGGAAGAAAGAGGAACCCAAAAGAAAACATGACGACTAGAAAACAATAGCAATTTCCATTTATATTTGGTCTCTTTAAACTTATTTTTCATGCCCTCTAGGTTGAAGGTGAACCACTTGTTCAACCAAACAAGAAATGTAATGCAAAGGACTCATTTTACAAATCCTCTACACAAAAGTAAGCATTTTTCCCAATGGAATTTTGATTTTGGAATATATTTCTTTTTCCTTCGTGACACATTCTCTTTATGTCTACAATAATGGATCTTATAAGTGACCCAGAGAACATCAAACACAGACATTTACTTACACTGGTAGCTAAAATAAACATTCAAGGAAGAGTCTTAAGGCACATCTATGCTTGACAGAATAAAACCAAACAGAAAGTGAATAGTCATAGAGGGGAAGGGGTGTTAAGAGTACAGCATCCCAGAAAGCCAAGACAGAGAAAGCCTACGGGGGGGGAATTCATTAAGTTAGCCGACAAATACATTGAGTACCTATTATGAATCTACATCTTAGACTATGAGCTACGTCAGTGAGTAGGCAAGGATCTCTGCTCTCAGTAGCTCTCAGTATAAAGGTATAAATTGGTCTGTTCTCATGCTGCTAATAAAGACATACCTGAGACTGGGCAATTTATAAAGGAAAGAGGTTTAACTGACACAGTTCCACATGGCTGAGAAGGCATGGCAGAAGGTAAGGAGGAGCAAAGTCACATATTACATGGTGGCAGGAAGAAACTGTGCAGAGGAACTCCCATTTATGAAACCATTAGATCTTGTGAGACTTATTCACTACCATGAGAACCGTACACGGGAAACTGTCCCCATGATTCAATTATCTCCACCTGGCTCCACCCTAGATAGGTGAGGATTATTACAATTCAAGGTGAGATTTGGATAGAGACACAGCCAAACCATATCAAAAGGGAAACAGACAATAATAAACAAGCACACTAAGAAGGTAAATAGACCGTATCTTAGAAAGTGACAGATAAGTCTGAAAAAAGAAAGCGAAGGTAGAACAGGATGACAAAATCAGGAGTCCCACATGTACAGGGTAGCAAGCATCAGTAATAAGCAGGAGGTGTGGGAGGCCTTTCCAGATGCTGAAGGGTGTGCAGAAATTGGAAAGAGTTGAGAGAGCAGCCATGCAGAGACTTGGAGTGACTCTCTTCCCAGAAGAGGGAATAGAGAGCAAAAGCCACAGGTCAGAAGTGTGCTTAAGATGTTAAGGAAGAACAAAAGGCCAGGGGGTCTGGAGCAGGGTAACAGTAGGATAAGAGGAGGGAGTAGCAAAAGAATAGGTCAGAGAAGTGCTAGGAACCAGATCTTGTGGGACACTTTAAGCAATTGTAATAACCAGGACTGTCACTATGAGTGATGTGATGCTTTAGCAGAGAAGTGGCAAGATCAGACTTACATATCAAGGTAATAATCATGGTGGCTGCTGTGGTCAAGCAGATTTTGCAGGGGAGAGAAGATGGAACACCAGTTAGGGGGTTATTGTCATCTAGGACAGAGATAACGGTAACTTGCGGGAGAGCGCTGGCAGAAAAATTTGTAAACAATGGTTGAGCTGCAGATTTATTTAGAATGTAACGCCAACACAATTTTCTGATTGTGATGAATGTGGGAAAAGAGAGGAGTCAAAAATGAGTCTAAGGCTTTGGCCTGTGCAGCTGGGTGTACTGACACTGCCATTTCTTAACAAGGTGAAGGCAGTGGAAAAGTCAGTTTCACATATGTTGAATATGAAGATGTTCATTAGACATCCAAGTGGATAGGTCAAGTAGGCAGTGTGATGTATGGATTTGAAGTTTGAGGCGGAGGTCTGGGCTAGAGAAATAAACCTGGGTGCCGTGGCTTATAGAAAGGTATGTAAAGCCATGGTACTGAATGAGAACACTAAAAGAGAAGCGTAGACAGAGAGGCAAAGGGCACTGAGTCCTGGCATCTCCCTAGAAAAAAAAGAGTGGAAACCAGCAATCAAAACTGAGAAGGAGCAACCAGTAAGGTATGAGGAGGATGAAGAGGGCCTAGGTTCTGGAAGGCAGATTGAGGATGTGTTGAGGAAAGAGTAATGAACACCTATTCATATCATGCTAGGTGAAGTAGGATGAGGCCCGAGAATGGGTGATGGGACTGACGAGTGGATTCAGAGTTCAGCAGAGTGATAGACTGAAGGCCAAAACACATGGCATGACACAGAGAAATGGATGAAGAGGGAAAGAGAGACAGCAAACAGAATAAAGAAATGGCAATACCTGTGGACCTCAAAGTACTTCATGTCTGCCCACTCTTCTTAGTTTGCATATTTTGAACACTTCAGACAGGCTTCACATTTCAACTTCATTTTTTTTCATTCAGATTGAAAGTATACCCATGACCGAATATCGTATCATAAAACACATGTATGAATGCCTGCTATCCCAGGGGTGTTATGAAAACATTTAAAAACATGATATGAAGTTGGGTTTCAAAGTATTAGAACAATATGAAGAAAACACCTTGTTCATTGGCCGTCTTGAAATCCAACTCTAAGGCTCAAAACATACCTGCTTGCCGAACATGGGATTTTGGCATCCTCCATTCTCTTTCATCTCAATTGCTAAATGGCCCCTAAATTCTTCTCTGACTTTTGGGTTTATTTCCCATTGTATTCTTATCTTGATTTTTATTTTAAAAATCCTAGTGATCATCTCAGAAACAGTTAATATTTTGATTAAGGTCATGATACTTCACTCAAAATGGAAACGTTTTATTATAAAACAAAATATCAAATCATAGTATTAAGTAGTTTCTCTTTAAAAATATAAAAGTGCCCTTATGGAAAAATTTTATTGCCCTCATGGAAAATTCCATAAAATATTTATGAAATATATCAGAGGCTCAAACAGTAAGGTAACTTTCAAACTTTCATTGTACTCACAGATTAATTTCTTATATACAATGCTAGTCAGATACGTTAGGAAATATTTATGACTTTGCTATGATTTGAAATATCTTATTATATTTAGTAATTTTATGACACTAATTTTAAGATGAGTAAGTTCAAAATGTATTCACACGCAACAAAAACACTACGGACTTATCACTGATCTATTTAACTTTTCCGATATTATGTTCTTTAATTTTCACAGCATTCCTGTGCGGCACAGACAATTTTTGTATCTATCCTTGTTCACTCTTGTATCATAAACACCTAGCACAGAACTTGAAATATTGTCATCTCTGACCAAATGTGTGTTGAGGAAGTGAGGATCACTGGTAATTTTTTTTAAAATGACATTCACAGACAGTGGGATTTTTTGTAAGGATATGCCTTGCCCATAGAATGGAAAGGTCAACTTAAGCACTATGTGTGGATAGGGCAGGAGAAGTTCTGGGGATTCATCTATCTTGTCAGAATATAGGCTTTAGAGTGAGGGTTGTATGTTTTTCACTCAGGATCAAATTGGAATTGATTTCACTGTGTCTGTCATATATGTCTGTGAAAAAGAACAACTTTCGAAACTCCAAAGATTCCCATATTTGTGTGTACGTGTGTGTGTTTGTATGTGTGCGTGCGTGTGTATACAAAAACTGCATTTCATAGGATGGCTGAAACACTTCAGCCATGCTAAAAAACTTGTACAATTTGGCTACATTCGTGTGGAATAGTGGGAATATTGCTGACTCTTAGGAGATAGATGATCTGGACTTGAGTCCTGACTTTGACCATCAATAACTGATCTTAAGCAAGAAAAATCAGTTTTCTAAGCCAGAGTTTATTTGTAAATTAATGATATTCTCTGAAGGTCAAGTGAACACTTTTTGTAAACTGTAAGATGTGTATACATTTTCTGCTTCTGTGTGACAGACTGCAGAATTTGTTATCTGGCAATCCTGTAGGTCAGAAGTCTAGGCATGTCCCAACTGGGTTTACTATTTAGGGTTTCCTAAAGCTAGAATCAAGGTGTCAGCTGAGACTGAGTTCTCATCTTTCAAGATCATTCAGGTTGTTGACAGAATTCCGTTCATTGTGGCTTTAGGACTAATATTTGCTTTTCAAGGGCAAAGAATATGTGTTGCTGTTTTGTATCCCTTTTTAGGCCTGGCTTGCTTAGGTTAGTCCTATTCAGGATAATTCCACCTTTTCATTAACACAAATTCAACCGATTAGGGACCTTACCTACATATGCCAATCTCTTGGGGCATATAAAATCACATAACACAAGCGTGCTACCTCATCATACTCACTTGCTCTGCCCACTGTCCAGGGGAGGTGATTATATATTATATGAACACCAACGGGCAGGGATCTTTGGGGTCATCTTTAAATTCTTCTTATCATACCATAATATTATTATGAACATTACAAATTGAATATGTTTTTCATAAGATGTTCCTATTTAATAACTTCATAGAGCTTATGAAGATGTTCCTTGGGATAAAATGCTACCACGAAAACTTGATCCAGAAGAAACAACTTTGGAAAAAGCTGCTGACCCCATCTCACAATGTTTTACTCTGAAAAGATACGAAAGGGTGCCAGCAATAACTCAGGTTGGCACTCTTCTCTGAGCAATAATGTGTTTCTCATTGTTACTAAAATAAAAAGTCAAAATAATACTCATTTTATTGTTAAGAGTACATAAAGAATTTATGTAAGATAAGTAAATATGTGTATATACATATATATGGAGTTGAAATTTCCATAGTCATACAAGTTGATGACTGCAAATCCTTTGATATTTTCAATATTTAAAACTTTTATTATTCAAAGACTACCTCTTTCTCAAAAGTCATTTGCAATGACTGTGTTTATTTTTGAAATTGCAAGAGAATGAGTAAATAAGGAAGAAGACAGAAATAATCTTACCAGATAAGCTGTGCTGAGGATGGTTCTTGGCATAGGATCTAGAACTTAGCTCTGTACTTTTCACGGCAAAAAGAAAAGATCCATAGATTGCTATCTGATGTTATTATCTCTTATTATGTGACAAAACAAAGCATACCAACTTGTCAGTAGTGACACCCATTCTTTTCATTTCCGAGTATCAAGAAGAATTTATCACATGAATGATCAAATCTATACCACAGCCAGAGAACTTTTCCTAGTAAGTGAATCTGTTTGTGTTACTCCACTGATTAAACCCATCTTTTTATTAAAAAAAAAAAAAAATCCATACTCCTTGACATGACACAGACCCAATTCTCCATTATTTGCCCATGGCTCCCTCCTTAGCTTCATCCCTGCCCTGTTCTCTTCTTCTTACTGTTACATGTTATCACCCAAACATCACCCCACACTGTACTCTGTCCTATTTCTGCTGAGCTTCTCCCAAGTCCTCAAGGTCTGCGATGCTCTTTTCCAGGTTGTGTGCTTTGCAAAGAGTGTTCCATTGCCTTCATCACTCTCCCTATTTATGCCAGGTGAATCTCAAGAATTCTTCAGATTTCATCGTAGCCCTCACTTTTGACCTTCCAACACTGGGTTAGATGTCTCAGCTCTGTGCTTGCAAAGTAATTTCTACTTCCATTGATTCCCTTATCCTTTTGTGCCACTTTTTCCAGCATAGGATTCTGGTTAAGCCCTTGGGCTATTTCTCATAATGAAGTTTTTGAGTACATAAAATCCATAGGATTAAAAAGAAAATCAATTATATTGAAATACAGATATTAAGAGATATATATCTATATTAAGATAGGCCCCAAGAGGTCCATTGATGATAGGTTAAGAAGCCCATATTTTCTTGTGAAATTTATTCCTCTTTTACAGAGAAAAATGATAATAAAAGAGGGAAAACATGACTTTAATATAAAGACTCAAACCTGAGATTTTCACATAGAAAAAGTGAATTAAAAGAAAAATATGTCTAGGCACAGTAGCTCACGCCTGTAAATCCCACACTTTGGGAGGCCGAAGCGGGTGGATCACGAGGTCAGGAGATCAAGACCATCCTAGCCAACATGATAAAACCCTGTTTCTACTAAAAATACAAAACAAAAAAATATATATTAGTTGGGTGTGGTGGCACACGCCTGTGGTCCCAGCTACTCAGGATGCCGAAGTAGGAGAACTGCTTGAACCCGAGAGGTGGAGGTTGCAGTGAGTTGAGATGGGGCCACTGCACTCCAACCTGGTGACAGAGTGAGACTCCATCTAATATATATATATATATATCAAAAAATATATATAATATATATATAATTCTACCTTTTTATATATTTTTGAAATATATATACACATGTATTTTTGAAATATATATATTTCAAATATATATAATATATATACACATATTTTTGAAATTTATATATATTTTTTCAAAGCTCAGGATCTAGGCTGGCTTGGAAGTGGGAGACTGGCCTGGGTTTGCACAGGGTAGGCTACAGTAGATCCAAGTCAGAACACTAGCTAAGGATGAAAACTAAAATCAGACCTTTCACATGGGTTTCAATTTGAAACAGGTGGATAATGAGAGAGATTCCAGCTATGAGAAAACAAATTGAAATTGGAATTTCAATTTGAGCAGGTCAAAGACCATGAGTGGCTCCAGATCAAACCCATGAAGTGCTAGGGAAGCTTGGAGAGTGCATTTCCTAGAGAGCCTGGGACATGGCGATGATGTGGAATGTCAAGAGCATGGGAGCTTATCCACCAGAAATTATAAGGTGCTCATTAACTGTCATTTATTTGATTATTATTTTTAGGTGGTTGGTGACCTCTGGGACAGATTTCAAACCAGATCTTTCTTGGCACCAGTCAAACCAATTAATTTGTAAGTTTTATCTCCTAAAATTCTCACACTGGATTTCTCACTACCATGTATTATAATTAAGAAGCCGATGCTGTAGTCCATGAGTTAGATGGGGTGGGTGAGGGACATGTTCTCTGATAAAGAGCATCCCAGGAACCCCCTGACTCACATCCTTAGGGCTGGGAAGATGACCCGAATCCCAGGGCAGTTGCCCAGTGTGCCTGCTTCCTTTACTTTCTCTTCACCCTCCTTAACATTTAGAATATTGGAGGCACCACAACCATTTTGGAAACCTGAGTACAGTGGCTCACGCCGTAATCCGAACACTTTGGGAAGCCAAAGTGGTAGAATTACTTGAGCCCAGGGGTTAGAGACCACGCTAGGTGGTCTATAATTGAAATTGAGTTATAATTTCTCTTTTGTAGACATGGTGAGACATCATCTCTACAAAAAAATAATAATAATTAGCCAAGCGGGATGGTGGTGCACCTGTAGTCCCAGCTACTTGGGAGGCTGAGGCAGGAGGATCCCTTGTGCCCAGGAGTTCCAGGCAGCACTGAGCCATAACTGCAGCACTGCATTTCAGCCTGAGTGACAGAGCAAGATCCTACGTTAAAAAAATAAATAAATATGCTGGGCATGGTGTCTCACAACTGTAATCCCAGTACTTTGGTAGGCTGAGGCAGGCAGATCACCTGAGGTCAGTTCAAGACCAGCCTGGTGAAATCCCGTCTCTACTAAAAATATAAAAATAAGCTGGGCATGGCAGTGGGCGCTTATAATCCCAGCTTCTCGGGAGGCTGAGACAGGAGAATCGCTTGGACCCAGAAGGCAGAGGTTGCAGTAAGCTGAGATTGTACCACTGCACTCCAGCCTGGGTGACAAGTGAGACTCCATCTCAAAAAATAATAATAAAAAATAAATAATTAAAATAAAATAATATAAAATTGGAAGCACTTTACAAACAATTTGATATAAACAATTATAATGTCCCTAAAATCCATGGACTTTATATAAAATAGATCATAAATTATTTTCTATCAATTTTTGTATCATATGGTTACTTTGTTTTCTATTAATGTTAGAAACTATGGCTTTATTATGATTACTTCTTTACATGTAATTTTCATATTTAGTCTAAAAAAACTTGGTGTTTCTGCCTTTGAAAACATCACAATATTGTCTGTTCATTTTTGTTCTTAACACAACCCACAACCCAGGTTATCATCTTTGTTTTTATTTTGTATTCATTTTTGAATATTTTATATAAACAAAAATATATAAACAAAAATAAGATATAGTCTGTGTATCTGCTTCCCAACTTTAGAAATAAAATATTACTTACACAATGAAAAATTTCTATGTAATTTTTCCTAAGGACATCTATCTTCCTTGGGGAGCATGACTAGTATTCTGGATTTGACATTTCACATTTTCATGCATTCTTATAATTTTTAAAATCATACCACTATGGTTCCTAAAGATATTAACAAGATAATAAGATGATAATATCAAAAGATTTTTTAAAAACAAAGAAGCACAAGGAAAATTTGGGAGGTGTTGGATATGTCTGTTACCTCGATTGTGGGGATGGTATCATGGGTATTTGCATTATGTCCAAACTCATCAAATTGTACATGTTAAATATGTACACTTCTTTGTATATCAATTATGCTGCAATAAAGCTGTTTTTAAAAGATTAAAAAAAAACATATGTGTTATTGTTAACCAATATATGTAATTGTGTTCGTTTATAAACCCAGTATAAGTGGTATCATACATATATTTATGCAACTTTAGATTTTTGTTCAGTATTGTCTTTGCAAGATTCATACCTGTTGACATCTGTGTCTCTAGGAGTTCACTTTCATTGCTGTAGAGTCTTCCATTGAATAGATGTACTAAAAATTATTCATCCATTCTCATAATTATTTTCTGATTTTTATTATAGTTGGTACAATGTCCACATACCTTCACACACCTAAGTGTAAAAATATTTCTGAGTTTTGTATACTCATATTTATGTCTAGAATTGTTGTGTCATGTGGTGTGTACTTCTTTGCTTTTTAGATGTTGCTATGTTCTTCTCCAAATGAGTTTTACCAATGGAATCTCCCATTAGAAGTGCTTGGGTTCCCATTACTGTACATCATAGCCAGTGTTTAGAACTTTTAGATTAAAAAAAAAAATCGGGTCTATGAATATCAAATTGCACTTCATTATAATTTTAGTTTACATTTACCTGATTACTAACGATCATTTTTTGCAAGTTTATGACATGTTTGAATTTTCACATCTGTAACTTGCCTGCTCATATATTTTGTTCCTTTTGCTGTTGGGTTGTCTTTTACTTATTGATTGTCACAACTTTTCTGTTTAATATTCTGGGTAAAAATCCTTTCTCGGTACTATGTATCAAAGTAGCCCCATCTAGTCTGTGACTTTTCTATTTTAAGACTTTTCTTTCTATTTTTGCTTATCTGAAGTTTTGAATTTTAATGTAGCTAAATTCATCAATATTTTTCTTCAAGTTTTTTTTTTTTTGAATTTTTTAATGAGCATTTTCCTGCCTTGAAATAATAAAGATATCCTCCTTTAATACTTTTTATAACGTTTTTTCTAAAATATTCAAAGTTTTGTTTTTCACATTTATTATT